TTTTTTTAAACCGGGTCCCAGAGTGGATAAATCTGAAAACGCCGCCCTTGCGTTTTCGTGTGGACAGCGAATCCGTATATTTTCTGAAACGATGACGTCATCAGCCCACGCCCCTAGTCAGAAACCGCTACGTCACGTAACAGCAACAAAAACATGAACAAACACTGAATGATTGTCTTTTTATTAACTAACATTGACACAGATTAATAAATGTATTGTTCCATGTTCGTTTGTATACCGCTCACGCAAGGTTTATGCGCATAGTCCAAGTCTTCTTCTCCCGTTTTTAGTGTCTCTGTGGCAGAATTACAGCGCCACACACTGGTCTGGCATGTATACTACATCGTTTTGTGTCGGTTTTGTGGTTTCGTGTAGACGCAGATATTTCTTGAGACGAGAGAAAAAAAGATTGGATAGGGAAAGCGCTGGCTTCGTGTGGACGTAGCCTTAGTTTATGTTTAATGGGGAAATTTATCATATATATCATATTCTCAACAGCATAAGAACTGAGCAGATGTTGACAATTTAAATTTCCCCCTGTGTATGTGTAGGACTACCTGATGGCGCTGTCTCTGCAGCAGGAACAGCAGGCCTCAGACCTGGGTTGGGAACAGATCCCAGAAGGCATCAGTGATCTAGAGCTGGCCAAGAAGCTGCAGGAGGAGGAGGACCGCAGAGCGTCACAGTACTATCAGGAACAGGAACAGGAACAGGCCCAGGCAGCAGCAGCAGCGGCTGCGCAGGCACAGGTGAGTTAATAAACTGCACACAAGAATAAACAAACACATACTTAAGATTGAATGCCATTTTCCACAAAATATTGGCGTATATTACACATTCAATCTGACATAACATCTCATTAATGTCATGGTGATCCAGACTTGATGGGGGCAGCTGAAAGGCTGTTGCATTAGTTGCTTAAGAGGACAAATAAGACCTAGCAAACCATGAACATGTAAATTTGCGATGAAATTACAGATCTCTACTTCCATACAGTAACATACATCTGAGTGAAAGATTATTTGAAAAAAAAAAAATTTGAAGGACAGGGGCATTGTTCTACAGATCAATTGTTGATTGGATGAAGGCGGATCTAATTGCAAGCTTGCAGTCGATTGTAACAAAGGGGCAGAGTTTAAGTGGACTAAATGATTGGCAAAGTTTGGCATACCAGACAAAAGTTTGTTATTTCAAAGGAAGATCAAATTCTGACATTTTGATTGTAAAAAGCTTTTTGAAACATACACATGGGTGAATTGTTTACAGTAAGATCAATAACATGTATTTCATTTCATGCCTACTTTAAAGAGTTCAAATAAGAGGTAATTTGTTCCTCTCCTGTCAGGGACAACAACCAGCAGTGGGTGCCGACCAGGTGGATAGAGTGGCAGCTGCTGGAGCCTCAGCGGGGGGAGCCACGGCTTCTCCAAGCCCTGGAAAACAGCCCTCAACGGTGGAACGCAAACCCAAGAAGGAAGCCAAGGACAAAGACAAATGCATCTTGTTGTAACAGCAGTGGTCTCTACGTGGAGTGTGAAACGGGCAGCAGTTTAATTCCTGTGGGTCTGCAATGCATCTCCCAGCCTGAGGTGGAGAAAGAATAGACGACAGAGATGAAGTGTGATAGTCGGAGAGGACTTGCCATTCTCAAGCCACTTGTGCCTGACTTTAACCCTCCAAAAATCAACAAAAACAAATGGAAAAAAAAAACAACATGGCACCACTTTTTTTCATTATACAAAGCATTTTCTTTTTTGTGAATTTCCGTTATTGCTGTTGTTTATAAGCTATTTTATGCCAGGTTACCCGTACATATGCATATGTAGATTTGTTGTATTGGTCATTTTCTTTTATTTGACTGAAGGATATCTGAGATCTTTTAATGAATGGCCGTTCACATGAACAGGTAGCAAGCCAACAGGTCGCTTGGCAAAGGTGATGTCTCAGGACATGATGTAGGCCACCATAGTTCTTTGCCTGGCAGTTTGATGCCAAATTTTTAATTGTTGATATTGTAGGAGAAGTGACCTCCATTTTAGATAGTGAAATCTTGATGAAACAAATGCATTCAAAAAGGGTTTCCTTATTAGGCAGTATAAAATCCAATTTGTTATTTAAATGCGTCTACAAAATAATTTTTGCAAATAGGACATTAACTGTTAATATGAGTGAACAACTGACACTACCATTAATCTAAATAGCTTTAAAATATCAAAACCAGTAGATTATATAAAATACATGGCCAAGTTTTTGCTTCGCCCCACCCCTTTTACCTTTCAGCCAAATGTCTGGTTCATATTTGCTTTATAAAATGAAGTATATGAGTAGGATCATTACCATGAAATTTGGCATTACTCAAAACCGAATGGTTCTTGTAAAGAAATCTCATCTTTGATCATAATGGTTTGTTTTCCGCGAATGATATCGGTTTTTACAAAGGGCCAATGTTGCTACTGAAATATGGAGAGCAGGTTGGCCGATTCTTGAAAGAAATAACAAGAGGAAATTTAGCACTTCTGTTAATGGGGCAAGCGACACTGTCGCCATTGGGCGATAGTCTGAAAATGGCTGAACACTGGCCGAATAAACGAGCTGACTGATATATTGGCCTATCGCTAGATCTAGCTATAATTTTCACGCTCTTTCATGTACATACTCATATACACTATATGGATGTAAGGTAGGAAAGGATTACTCAAGCCCATTCTGTTCCAGTGCTGCCTCCTGAGAGACAAGGTCTTTTCTATCCAAACATTCCAGCTAAATGCCTTGAACTGAGCATTGTACTGAGCTTTAGGCTCAGGGAAGCGCTAAAGTTTGGCTATTTTACCCGTTGTTCTGCTCTAACAATGCAAGAATGAACAACTCCTGCATGTAGATGAGCCTCATGATGGTGTAGTCATCAGTTTGCCCAGTGGTTAACGTTACATGGGAGCACAGCAGATGCTGTTTATGCTAGTCGTGGGCTGGAGCTCTTCATTTGACATTTGGTCCCTCCATGGCCAATACTCTCTGTATATAAAAAGCCTTACAATATTTACAGTATCTTTTATACTGACAAAAATAGGTGAGACAAGACTGAGACAATCTGTAGACCTTACCATAGACAGAAAACCGCACAGGCCTTCACAGAAGGAACATATCCATGAGTGTCTTGCAAACAGTTTGATGTGTGTTAGATTACTTGGTAAAGGATATAGATTCAAACTGTGTAAAATGTGAAACATAGGGTTTTATTTCAAATAGTCCCCTTTGATAAGGCCAGTTCGCACCAGAAAAATACAGTTGCATTTGCAACACTCCCATAGACTCCCATTGAAAGCGGGGAATGCGAAAGTTCCAAACACAATATTACTGGAGCTAAACCCCATGCATTTCCGTGTGTACCAAGCACATTCACTGGTAATTTGATTAAAAGACTGCATTTTGTGACATTTTAGTTAATTAATGTTCATGGTTAGATGCTATCATGTAGTCTAGGCTATGGAAGCAATCCCCCTTTCCTCCTAAATTAAACAGAGAAAAAAACTGATTAAGGCTACTATAAATATAGTCAATGTAACATTAAGCGTTAATATTTACCGAAAATTGCTGCAAATATATTCGCTGCTGCTATCTGTCCCGCTTAAACACATTCAAAAAGGTTCTTAGCGCCAGTAGCTACATGAACCACGTGCCGGCTAGATCAAAGGTTGTCGCAACTCTTTTTCAACGGCTCTGACTGGTTCACACCAAGAACGATAACTATATAGACCTTAGTCATAGTAGCGCCATGTTTAATTTTTAAAGCATTCACGTAAAAATCTTAATTACACTTGTTAACTGGACATTTTCTGAGAGCTTTGATCTGTACCACCTGACCGCGGCAGATTAATTTAGGCGTTGGTAGTGTGTTGCCATAGAAAAGCATAATTCCGAGTCCAAGCCAAGGACGTGAACGGCTCCGAGTAGGACTTGACCTCTCGAAATTACGGCGAATAATGGCGCGAACAATCTAGAACCTTTGTACAGTTCTTGCCATTGTAAAGACTGTAATTCTATCACTTACAGCCACAACAACTGTCGCATCCGGTGTAGACACGGCGTAAGGTCTATTAACGTCCACACCAACTGATGAACACGCTGTTTATTATAACCGCGCGCTACAGTTCTGTCGTCTGCTGCTTTAAACGCTCGAGCTTTTTAAAAGTTTTCATTGTTTATCATCTGAAAAAAAAAAAATCTGTGAAATTATTCTAACGATATCGTTCCTTTGTGAAATACGCTATAAAATTAGGAACGCTTAGAAAAACTATCGTCCTTGGTATGAACAGCCCTTTAAACTTTTCAACCCCTAATTGGGCTTTTAAGAGAAATCATAACTATTTTGTTAAATTGTTGTTACCTGAGATTAATTAGTTGGCATCCTTATAGTGTTCAGCCAGAAAGTGCACAACAGTGTGTTTTAGTCTGTATTTGTCCTGTTCTTACCATTCCCTAGAAGATGCACTATAATGGTATGGTTTCACACTACACAAACTAGGTATAGATTTACTTTCATAAATATCAAGCTTATTTCACCTCTGCAACTGGTGTTATACTGTAGGAAGCACAAGCTAGTCAATATAGAGTTGTGAGAGAAATGTCTTGAAGGGTTTGTGGGGTGAAATGGGATATTAAGCAAGTCATCCATCTTCATCAGACTTGGGAGAACAAACTTTTCATTCTGTAAACAAGCTAACACTTAGGTTCTGATTCAAACACTTTCTCAACTGTTACACTTGCAGGTCAGGTTAAATATGGACATTCCAAGGTGCTTTTGATCAGTGGCATGTCTGATAAAGTAGTGATTAAAGACAATGTGCAACAGACTTCTCCAGCACACACAATATGTACCCACTGTGCATTAGCTTGTCATTTGTATTGATTGCTAATCACTTTCTTCTTCTGTAATGTGCTTCAGCTTTAACCATTTGCTTCTAAAGTGATCTTGTTAATTGCAGATGTTTAAATTGTCACAAATATATACATGTTAGTGGGATACATACTAAAATGTCAAATTTATAGAGATGGGTGCAATCTCCATGAAGAAAATAGAAAGTCAATTTCAAAGAGTAAAGAGATGGAAAATGGCTTGAAACTGTTTAATATATTTAGCTAATGCTATTTTTGACCTTCAAATAATATCAGTAAATGTTCCAAGGCCTTGTCTGCTTAGTTGGCCATTGGTGTGCAGCACCCATTGAAGCTCCATTATAGGTCCTAGACCATTTTAGTTCTTTATGCACTGTTACATTGAATGCACTAGATGAGAAATATACCTCTTTTTATACAAAATTAGAATCACTAGTTTGTCTGGTTACAGCTGAATCTGATTCATAACACTCAATAACATTTGTGCAATAAGGCTTGTACTTTTGGAGCTTATAGAACTGAATATCAAGAACTTTCTAATGGTTCAGTTTCACTCTAAATGCTGCCATTTAGATGTTATGTTCCTTGCCCTTCCAGATAGGAAATGTTTGCAAGACGTCTCATGAATATAATTTGATGTTTTCATATCTTAGTGCCATCAAGCTATATGGGAATGAAAGCAACAAATGATGAGAGAGCTCATGAATGAGTTGATCCATGTTGACAGGGCATTACCGAGGGTGATTCAAACTAATGACCAGGGAGGGTAATTATCTTAATTTCAAAAGATATTGAAATGCCACACATTACACATGGCACACATGCTTTCTGCCAATGATGGGAACTGGAAAGTTTTCTCCTGGTGCATTTGTCTGGTCAGTTTTACTGGGTCAGTCCATAATGGAAATGCAGTTGTGATGCATGTTTAACAGCTGAATACAACATGTACTTCTAAATCATTTTAAGAAGCAGTCCCATTACAATTTCTATTTTATATCCTTTATACGTGTATATTTACACAAAACATTAACTTAGCAAACAGAAAAAAAAAAGAAAAAAAAAATCAGGATATTATAAGGGTCAACCTTTTATTGTGTGTAAGGTTCATTAATGACCAAAAACATTTATGTAGCCCAACAGTGTCAAAAAGTAGATGGACAACTTTTCTGTAACAAATGCCTTAGACGAGGGACAATACGTCTGATTAAAGGAAATCTGGTTCGTGAGTCTGTGTGATTCTTCTGATTGTCATTCAGTCTTCAACTTTTCTTCCACAGACTGTGGGCAGATACGGCTACAGATACAGAAGCAAACTATACAGAGATGGTCATAATCCACAATTTAATAACTTGTAGAATCATCAAAAAAAGTCACATGTTGAAATGTTAAAGGAATTACAGGTGTGTCCATTGCTACACGCAGTAGTCTGCCCAAAGCGTATGAGAGTATCTGAAAGGTTATCTAAACAAATACTGGTTGAGAAATAAGCTGTACAGTTGCACCTATAGAATGTCAGGAGAACATGTTCACAAATGTGGTTTACAGGTCACCAGAGAAGTTCAGGAAACAAAAACCTACATGTAAAGCCTTTTATAAAGACAACAAAATTGGATCTTTACAATAATCTAATGGCTATAAGTTCAGCCAATTAAAAACATCAGAAGTTCAAAAAAACAAAAAAAAAAAAGTATTTATATTTTTCCACAGCAGGGAGTCAGATACTAGAACCTTCCTTTGAAGGGCTTGAATCCTCCGCTGCCACCGGCCATGGGAACATT